TTCTATAAATAGAGGATACAAAGTAGAATTCCTAAAGTGGAAGTGGCTAACTTCAAAGGGATGAAAAGTATTCCAACAAAGGTAAAATTGAACCAATGTTTAATAGAAAAAGCTAGTTTTCAAGGAAGAGATGGTTGGTGTACCAGCTAGGTACATTTCAACAAGGCAGAATTCCAGGAGAACCAAAGCTAGGTGCTGTGGAAGATGTGCTAAATGATGAAATGTAAAAACAAGTGGAAGTTGCATGTCAGGTAAATTTATTCCAGTGAGAACTAGGCCAAATACAATTAGGTGAGAGGAGAAACAAATAGGAAAATAAGATCGGAAAAGAGAGAATGAGACATAGAATAGCAGCTAACATAAAAGGCATGTAAATAGTCAGCAGATGGTAAGAGCTAGGGTGATGCATTTTAAGGACAAAGAAGGTGATATATGCTTAGAAATGCAGGGCAAAGCCAAGGTAATTATTGAGTACTTTGATCTGTTGAAAAAAAAGAGGATATTGATGAGATATCAGTTGAAGTGGAGATAGGAGTTAAAGCTAGGTGGAAGAGTGAACTGTGAGGAAGATAGAGATGCTTCAGTGTGATTTGGATAAGTTGAATGAGTGGGCAAATGCATGGCAGATGAAGCATAATGTGAATAAATGTGACTTTATCCACTTTGGTAGCAAAGATGGGCAGATTCATTATTATCTGAATGGCAATTGATGGAGGTGCAACGAAACATGGGTGTCCTTGTAAAGCAGTCGATGAAAGCAAGCGTGCAGGTGCAACAGGCAGTGAAGTAAGCAAATAGTATGTTAGCCTTCATAGAAAGAGGATTTAAGTATAGGAGCAGGAATGTCTTGCTGCAATTGTTCAGGGCCTTGGCTAGACCACCAGGTATTGAATATTGTGTGCAGTTTTCATAGAATCATTGAATCCCTACAGTGTGGAAGCTCATGAAGTCCACACTGACCCTCCGAGCATTCCACCAACCCTGTCCTCTTAGCCCTGCATTTCACATGACTAATTCCCCTAACTTGGGCAATATAGCATGGCCAATCTAACTAACCTACACATCTTTGGACTGTGGGAGGAAACCGGAGCACAGTGGAAACCCATGCATACACGAGGAGAACATGCAAACTCCACACAGATGGTTGCAATCGAAGCGAGGTCCCTGATGCAGTGAGGCAGCAATGCTAACCATTGTGCCACCGTACCGTCATTTATCAGACTGATTCCTGACAGCAGAAAGGGTTGACCAGCCAATGTTTTCAAGTGGTATACATGGACTTCCAGAAGGCATTTGATATAGTGTCACACATTAGACATGAGCAAAATTAGAATTAATGGAAAAGAACGATCAGTATGGAAAGTTCATGGACTTTATTTGAGAAGGAAGAAGGGTTGTATGGGTTTCCCAGTGGTCTGTGTTGGGGCCCTTACTTTTGCTGATATATTAATTATTTAGACTTGCGAATAGATGACAATTACAAAATTGTGGAAGATATGAAGCTTGGAAGCATTGTAAACTGTGAGGGGTATGGTTTAGAACTTCAAAAGGACGTATATTAGAAATTCAAGAGGACAATTGCCACAATAGTACAAGTGCTTGGTGAGACCAGACCTAGAGTATTGTGTGCAGTTTTGGTCCCCTTACCCATTGGTTATCATTGCTGCCTCACAGCACCAGGGACCGGAGTTTGATTCCACCTTGGGCGACTCTGCGTGGAATGGAGTTTGCACATTCTTCCCCGTGTCTATGTGGATCTCCACCAGGTGCTCCAGTTTCCTCCCACAGTCCAAAGATGTGCAGGTTAGGTGGATTGGTCATGCTAAATTACTCATAGTTTTCAGGGATGTGTAGGTTAGGTGTGTTAGCCATGGGAAATGCAGGGTTACAGGAATAGGGGAGGGGAATGCGGCTGAGTGGGATGTACTTTGGAGGGTCAATGTAGCCTTGTTGGGCTGAATGGCCTGTTTCCACACTGTAGGGATTCTATGATGATTCTTTCATTTCTGAAGAATGATGTTCTGGCTGTGGAGAGAGTCCAACAATGGTTTACCAGACTGACTTCTGAGATGGTAGTACTGAGGAATGACAAGAGACTGGATTGGTTAAGAATATATTCAGTGGATTTATGCAGAATGAGGGGAGATCTTGTAGAAACCTATAAAAATCTAACACAACTAGACAGAGTAAACAGGAAGAATGTTCCTGATGACCTAGTTTAAGGATGTGATGTAGGCCATTTAGGACAGATGAGGTGAAATTCCTTCACCCAGAGTGGTGAGCTTGATTTTCTGCCAAAGCAAGGTGTTGAGGCCAAAACATTGAATGTCTTCAAGGAGATAGATATAGTTCTTAGAGCTAAAGGGATCAAAGGATATGGGGAGAAAGCAAGGACAGGGTATGGAGTTGGATGATCAGCAATGATTATACTAAATGACAGTGCAGGCTTGAAGAGCCAAATGGTCTAACACCTCTTATATTTTATGTTTCTATGTAGACCATTGGTGGAGTGGGTGGATAGGTGGTGGATGAAATTCAAGGCAGAGAAGTGTAAGGTTTTGATAGGGAAAGCATGGAGAGACAAAATAAAATAGAAGATATAATTCCAAAGGGGGCGCAAGAGCAGATGAGCCTGTGTGTATACGTGCATAAGCCAGCAGAAGTGGCAGGACAGATTTAGAGAAGTTTGTAAAGAATACAGCATTGCAGGCTTTATTAACAGGGCATAGAGTACAACAGCAAGCAAGTTATGTTGAACTAAGACACGACATTAGATCATCCTCAGCTGAAGTATTGTGTTGACTTCTGGGCACATTTCAGGAAGAATGTGAACACATTAGGGTGAGTGAAAAAGAATTTAAAATTCTTAAATATAATTTATGATTATAATTTATAAAAAAAATTCCAGGGATAAAGAATTTCAGTTATTAAGATAGATTAAAGAAACTGGAACTATTCTCTTTGTGAAGAGGAGACTGAAAGGAGATATACATGAAGCATCCAAATTTATGGTAAGTCTGGACAAAGTAAATAGGTCATGTGAGATAATGCACTTTGTAAGGTCAAGCACAGGTAGAAATTATACAATGAATGGCAGAGCCCTTAGGAGTATTGATATGCAGAGAGATCTTGGTGTGCAGGTCCACGGATCATGAAAGATGGCCGCTCTGGTAGATAAGGTAGTAAAAAAGGCCTACAGCATGTTTGCCTTCATTGGAAGGGGCTTTGAGGATAAGGATAGGCAAGTTATGCAGTAGCTTTATAGAACTACAGTTAGGCCACACTTGGAATATTGCGTACAGTTCTGGTCACCACACTACCAGAAGGATGTGGATGCTTTGGAGATGGTACAGAAGGTTTACCAGAATGTTGCCTGGTATGGGGAATTTTAGCTATGAAGAAAGGTTGAATAGACTGGGTTTGTTTTCACTGAAACACAGGAGGTTGAGGGGTGACCTAATAGAAGTTTATAAAATTGTGAATGGCATGGATAGACTGAAAAGTATGAGGCTTTTTCCCAGGGTGGAAGGGCTAATTACTAGGGGACACAGGTTCAAGGTGTGGGCAGGGTGGGGTGGAGTGAGGTGGGCGGGGGGGGGGGGGGGGGGTAAGGGAGTTTAAAAGAGATGTGTGAGGCAAGTTTTTCTCTCAAAGGATGGTGAATGCCTAGAACCACGCTGCCAAAGGAGGTGGTGGAAGCAGACACAAAAGCAGTATTCAAGAAGCACCTGGATAAATACATGAATAGTAAGGGAATAGAGGGATCCTGTAAATGAAGACAGTTTTAGTATGGAAGGGCAAAGTGCATCAGCACAGGCTTGGACGGCCAAAGGGCCTGTTCCTGTACTGTGCTGGTCTTTGTTCTAAATGTTCCCACTTGTGAACCAGGAAGCATAGATTTAAAGTAATTAATAGAAGAAGCAAAAAAGTGATGAGAAGTGATAAGCTAGTAAGGAGGGCAGACTTTCTTCTCTAAAGGGCATTGAAACAGATGGGTTTTCATGACAATTGATGATAGTTGTTGCGTGGACAGTCACTAGCTTTAATCCAGCTTAATTAATTAAATTCCACCAGCACCATGATGGGATTTGAACCCATGCCCCCAGAGCATTAAATTGGGCCAAGAGATTAAGGCCAGTGATATTACCATAATGTTCCTGCCTCTTCTTACCAGTTGACATTTGTCTGATAGCTGGCCCACTTGGTTGAATATCTGCATATTTATTTGAAGACACAAGCTTTTGAAGTCTCGCTCCTTCAGGCAAGACTCTGAAAGCTTGTCTTCAAATAAATCTATTGGGCTATAACCTGGTGTCATGTGATTTTTTTTTAAAACTTTGTCCACCTCAGTCCAACTCTGGCACCTCCACATCTTGAATACCTGCAGTAGTGGAATGAAGCCACAGGGTGGCCCTTAATTGATCACTTCCTGTCCGACTTTGGGCACAAGGCAAGGGTCATCCTCAACACTTTCCATCCTGATCATGATCTTTAATGAGATGTATTGGGGGTGGGGGGAAAGAGGTGGGACAGTGAATGGGTAACTACACTGCACTTACCCTACCCAACCTACTTCCCAGCCAACTATGGGCTGGATTAAATCTAGTAACTGTCTATGTAACAATTATCATTGATTGTCCTGAAAATCCATCTTTTTCAATGCCCTTTAGGGAAGAAATTCCACTTGGTAACTTTCTGCATAGATTCTGCTAGACCTGCTGTGTATGACTTGCATTTTCTCTTTTTATTTCAGGTTTCCAGCATTTTGATTTTCTAAAAAACATTTAAATGTTAATTTACTTGCTATTTCTTAAAAACAACTAAGCAAAATATAGGGCATTTGAGGAACAGTTATAAGTTCCTACATTGGATTTCTTCTATATATTTGATTGCAGCATTTGCTGTTAGACTGGAACAATCAGTGTGCCATTTCTTACATCAGTGTCTAATATGCTTTCTTCTATCAAGCTATATCAAAGAACAACAAATAATGCACATACCTTGCATTTATTAGGTACTGTGCCAGACTAATATTAGCAGGAGATCCTGTGATGGTGATCTGTCGCTCTGTGGAACCTTCTGTTGCATTAGCAATCTTGATCTGTGCTCCTGACATCTGCCTGATTTCATTTATTTTGCTTCCTTGTCTGCCAATGATACATCCTATTAACTTGAATAGGAGAAAAACAGAGATATTTAATCAGTTGTTCCAGTAGACTTGCAGAAACAGCTAATGATAAATGAATAAATGTCTTTGAACATCTATTTCTGCTGTGTACATAGAAATTGAAAAGCTCTGCACAAAATTAGAACTGCATAAAATTTGAACTAGCAAATTAATACACTTGACAAATTTCCTATTTAGTAGACCATGTGTAACAAAATTTCAAAGCAGGGTCAGAAGATGGAACTGACAAATCACCTGATGGAAACATAAATTGGAGATGGAACCTAGGTTCATTAGTCTTCCACCCTGCTCCAGAAAATGTTAAATTCTGGGGAGGTGAGAGCTTCAAACAAGCAAGTTTCTGCCTTTCCCTCTGCATCAAGTTTGGGAAGCATCTAGTATTCCTAAACAGCCCCAAGAACATGCCCTTTTCAAGTCTCGAGCAGCTGTTGGCCATTCCAGCTTCCAAAGGTAGATCAGAACATGTGATGCTGAAGCACCATTCTAGCCCTGGGAAGTCTGTCCTATGTATCTGACTATGTAAGTGACCTCTTTGATTCAAAGTACATCATACTTATAGTGGTTAAGCAGGCCCCCAACGTACTGTTTATTTATGTTGAACTTCTACATTTTGCAATGATACTTTGAATTATTTGTTGTATAGCTGCTACAGAAATTATAATTTTACCTTCCAATTAGTGTAATGTAGTAAATTTAATATAATATCACAGGGACATTTTTAATATGAATACTAGATTTCCTTTAATTTGACTTGCGTTTTGGTCACAATTGCTTTCTGTAGAAGAGATTCTACAGGCTCACCACCCTCTGGTTGAAGAAATTTCTCCTCATCTTCCTCCTCAATGGCCTACCTCATATCCTTAGACAATGATACTGATACTTATACTCAGAAGAACTGTTTTATTATTGAAAAAATACCCCTTCCACAATTTTGCATGTTTAAACATATTTTGGAATAAAAAATATTCATGGGTTGTGGGCAACACTGGTTGGGCCAGCATTTAGTGCCCATCTCTAGTTGGACTTGAGAAGGTTGTGGTGAGCTGTCTGCTTGAACTGCTGCAGTCTGTGTGCTGTAGGTAGACCCACAGTGCCATTAGGGAGGGAGTTGAAAGATTTTGACCCAGCGATGCTGAAGTAACGCAATATATTTCCAAGTCAGGTTGGTGAGTGGCTTGGAGAGGAACTTGCTGATTTGTGGTGTTTCTGTGTATCTGCTGGTCTTGTCTTTCTAAATGGAAGTGGTTGTGAGTCTGGAAGGTGCCGAGCAAAATATTTAGTTGAGTATAATGAGTCATTCTTAATCAGAGCTCTGATGTGACAGTTATTAATCCCCTGCAACAACAGGACAGAATTCTATGATTTATAAATGAGATATGACTAAATGTTGGCAGGCTATAATAGTCATTTAAAGGTCACAGTACTGAATGTGTACTGCAGGGCATAATCCTTACCGTACTGGTATCTCCAGTGAATGATGTAACCCAAGGAGTTGTGACATTTTAATTAAGAAACCAGCATATGTTTTTGTCTTCACAGCCTGTGTGGTCATTTGTCAGAGCAGATTGGCAGCCCTTTTATCTGTTTTTTTTATTTAACAGATATCAACAGAATAAAAAGTATTTATATTCCATGTAGGGTGGTTGATGCTGTTTACCAGATTACCAGCGAGGTGTTTTGAAAAAAACAATTCCCTCGGTGACCTTCAATTAAGTTTCAAGACCACTGTCAGTATTTAGTGAAAAAAAAAATCCTGCTTTTATCTGCTTTCTTTGGCTCACTGCCCTTTTTGGAACATGTAAGGAGTCATGTAATTTAAACACAGTTCGGAAATTCCAGACCTCAGGAACAGAGAGAGAGTGCGAGAGAGAGCTATGACCTGAAATTCTGGGTGCTGCATCATCCTATTTAATTTACTGTGAAAATTCAGCTGGGACAGAGGTGTAGAACAAGAAAGATCTAGCTGCTGTTGCAGAAAGGCATGTTTGGACATATATCTTTCCCAGTCCAATAATTCCACCTGATAATACTCTTTGCTGTAATGGTTCACATGCCATTCAAAGACACAACAAGTACAATTGTAAGGCAGGTTTAAAAACAAAAAAAAAAAAAACAAAAAAAAAAAAAAATCGGTCTTTACCTAAACAATAGGCTTAATTTTCATCTACATTCAGTGGAGGACAACACTGGTAATTTTGTGTAACTGACTAACATGATGGGCAGCTGGCACATTGATGCTTCTAGCCTATTTTGGAAGATGCAGCTTCAGGGGTTTTACAGCTACCTACCTGCTTGTGGCAGGTGACAATTAGACCAGTCAAAGTGCCAATTCAGGATAGTCTTCTTTTGCCATCTGGAATTTTCCAGTCAGAATATGGGGTTCCAGTGAGGCCAAAGCCCTGGATAGAGATACCATCCCATCACAATGCCCTACTTAATTTCTCTCTCACTACCACCCAGCCTTAATTGCCAGAGGGTTATTGCAGCTGCAAGTATATGATGGGGGATTTCCCCTTCACAATGCTGGTCAGGCCACATTTTATATTGAAATTTTGACATGTCTTCAAAGGCGTCCTCATGATTATCCTACCTATTTCAGCAGTCTCAGTCACTGATTGCAGGACCACTGATCCTCCAGTGCTGAAGGGCCTGCTATTAGACTTCCAGATTTGGGAACACCATCCTTATTGGACAGAGCTCCTGTACAAGTGCCAGGTAATGACCATCTTCAATAGGAGAGAAGCTAACCATGTCCACTTGACATTCAATGGCACCACTTTCACTGAATCCCTCACTCGCAACATCCTGGCACTTACCATTGACCACAAACTGAACTGGGCCATCATACAAATACTGCTGATATATGAGCAGATCAGAGACTTGGAATTCTGCGGTGAATAACATATCTCATGTCTCCTCAGTGCCTGTTAATCAGGACTGTGATGGAATATTCTCCATTTGGCTGAATAAGTGCGGGTACAACATAAATCAAGAAACCAGAATAAAGCAAATTACTTGATTGGCACCCCATCCACCACTTTCAATATCTACCCACTTCAACCACTGATGCAAGGTACTAGCTGTGTGTATCATCTACAAAATGGACTGCAATAATTCACTAAGGCTCATCCAACAGCACCTTTCAAACTCATAACCCTGAACACATTTAAATACAAGGGGAACAGAAACTTGGGGACAACAGCATCTGCAGATTCCAAGACAGATATTGTCCTGTGTTGGAGCTATATCGCAGTTCCTTCACTTTTGTTGGTGCAAAATCCTGGAGGTCCCTTTCAAACAGGATTGTAGATGTCCCTACACACTAAAGACTCCAGGAGTTACAGAAGGTAGCTCAGCATCCTGCCTGTTAGGCAAGTCGGGATGAGCAATAAATGCAACACCCATAAAGGTAAAAAAAGACAGGTAGTGCAGAAACATGGCATTGAAGAGATGATCAGCCAAGATCTAGAATGGTGGAGCAAGCTCAGTCAGCTGAATGGTCTACTCCTGTTCCTATGTTTCTATGCTTTAAGGGCAAACAAAATATTTAAAAAGTTAAATATTGAGAAATGCATATTCAAGTTTCTAGCCTTTACTCCTTTTTAATTAGGCTTCTTATGCCACTCTTCCAGATGGGTATTTAAATGCAGATGTTTTTAGAATCATCTTGGTGGGTGAAAATGGAAAATGGTGTTCCTCGGCCTGGAAAGCTTAAAAAAAAGTTGATCAAACTACTTCAGCTGTAGAAACCTTAGATATGGTGTTTGATTTATCAAATACTTCTGGGAACAAGGAGCACTTTGAGAATAATTGAAAGTGATTTGGATCATCATTCCCAATGGCATCGAGTACATTCGACAGAAAAAGTGACAATCAAAAAATCAAGTGTAAAAGAGATGCTGGAAAGAAAATAAATCTCCAGGATAAAATGGAATGATGTAAGCATCAGTTGTTGGGTTGATTTGCAAAAAGGAATGCATCCATAAAAGGACTATTTGAAGTCCTATAAGAGGGATGTCTCATTGTGAAATGATGTGGAATGTATAGAAATCATTTTCTCTTTTGACTTTTTCTGCTTTGGTTTGAAATATCATTTTTGTATTTTGATAAAATTATAATTTAAATAAATGTGTTAATAGTATATTAATTGCAATATCAAGAATATTCAGTTGGAGGGCATTTTTTGCTTGCTTTACCAGATAAAGGGCGGGATTTCAATGCAAGTTGCTTTAGAAGTGTATCATATGATGTGTAGTCAATTTGGTTTATAGGTAATCAAAAGACAATCAAGTGAGACTTTTTAGGACACTAGATGTTAGCTAAGGAAGAGAAGGATGTTTGCAGTGTTGGATTGTGAATAAATGTAATATTAAATAAAAGATTGGTGCATGGTTTCCTACTTCACCATCTTTGGACATTTAATCTTCCAGAAGCTGCCACTAAATTGGTTGCTTCCTCCAAGATCTGACCCCACCAACATTTGTGGGTTCCCAAATTGAATTTCACCCTGAGGTGAGATGGAACCCAGCAATGAAAATCCAATGTATGACATCTACCAGTCAGGTTTTCTAATAAGTTTTAATTAAAATAGAAAATGCCTTTGCAAGTGAAATTATTTTTTGCAGGTTTTGGTATATAAACCTTCACTTTCTAAAGTTCTCAATCATTTATTCTCAAGATTTTTGCTTTTTTCTTTCCAGTAAAGCGTGAGTTTATTGGTTTTGTTTAGAAGTCCCATGTTAGAGAATAATTGTTATCATTGTTTCATTAAAGTGTCAATGTGAACCATCAGCCAATTCAACTAGATTTAACGTGAGCAACCAGCAAGGATTTATAGCCAAGCCTATGAATACATAGTTACAGTGATGGGGTTAGGGTTATTTCCCACCTTTCTTCCTAACTTTAAAACTTGCCCCTTCTTTTGCTTCTGCCATAGTTTGGTTTCATGGATGCCAATGTCCCAGTGTATATACTTAGAAGCCATTTCTGATGTGCGAGTCTAAGTCATCAGTATTGACAGTCATACCATAACCAAGCTTGATTCTTCATCAGACCCCTTTCACCTACAGTCATTGTATAGTAGTTTGAAGTAAGAACTATGGCATTTATATGCCACAGTAAACATTGCGCTTTGTGAATCAGTTGTCATGTCAAGGGCAATTCCATCTGTGAAACTCTTTCAAAAGACCACTCCATGTCCGTACTGCATTTTTCTCTGTTAAGACACTCCATAAAACCTTGCTCTGTGACCAATCTTTTGGTCATCTTCTGTAATATCTCATATGGTTTAGTGTCATATTTAGTTCTTTAACACTTCTGAGAAGTGTGGTGAGATGTTTTATCATGCTTAAAGTTGATCCATAATTATAAATTTGTTATTGGGAATGGCTGACTAAGTTTATAGATTTAACTATTCTGACATTAATATAATAAATATTAAATAATAACAGGTAAAATTATCCAAACTTATTCTGCCCAGTGGAATGCAATGCCTTTATTCTGTGCTCATTACTGCATTAGCTTGATTTTCTTTTTAATTTGCTTCAGGCAGTCTGTGTTCTCTGACTGCTCTAATCCCACCAGACATCTTTTGATGCAAGATAAAAATAACCACTTCCTTTGGACTCTGTCAGGATTCTCTTACAAATAACTAATTTGGCATCTTCCAAAACATAATTCACAATTGAGGAAATATGGTTGGGGGCATACTAGGGAGGGGGCCACCAATGGATATAGAGAGCCTGAAGAGGAGGCAACAATACCTTGCCTGGTCACTAGCCTGCCAGATTCATTAAGTGAGGTTGATGCCAGCCTCTCCCGGTTGTGGGTAAAATCTTAGCAATGGCATCAGGAAACCATTAAGAGGCTCTCAATACATCCCCTGTCATTGATAAAATTGCAGCAGGAGTGGGCGCAGATGGACAGGCACCAAGAGTGTACTAATGAAAATGTGTCCAATTTTACAATACCCTCCATGTGTCATCCTATTCCCAGGGGTCTGCAAAGTTCAGCATACGGAATGAAAACCTGGAGATGATAGTTGTACCCGAGCACCTCATGACCTTGTCTTTCTAACTTGTGGAGGTTGCCAGATTGGAAAGTGTACTGAAGTTAATGGCTGTATTCTGTAGACAGTGTACACCACAGCCACAAAATTCCTGTGGGGAGGAGGAAATGTTTAGCCTAGTGTAGGAATTATCAAGAGGATTTGCTTTTTCCTATACAGTGCTGAGCTTCATCCAGGGAAGTGGAGGGTTTTCAATCACCCTTCTGCCTTGCGCCTTTTATTTCATGGAAGCAGAAAGTAGGACAAGCACAATGTGCCACAGAATTCTCAGCATTTGAATTACTTTAGTAGTTTGTCATTTATGTAGCTAGCCTCATACAATTTCTGCTTAATGATGATTCGGCCAAATCATTGGTAAGCTACTGTGTGATACTAGTGTAATTCAATCTTAATGGGTAGTTAGGCTTTCATCTTGTTCAAAACAGATGTGGTCCAGGTTTACTGCATCATCATTTCATTATCTGAGGAATTGCAAATGAAGCTGAATATACTGTGATTAGCAGCAGACAGTACCATTTCTGACATATAGTAGCAGAAAGGCCATTGATGAAACTGTTGAAGGTTTTGGGTCGATAATTACAGTAAAAAAACCTCTGAGTAAGTGAAGAAGAAAAATGGACTACTGTTTTTATTGAAGAATTATAACTAGCACTCTTTTCTTTGCTGGTTTGATCAGTTTTGAGCTATTAAAATATCTGTACAAAATGTTTGCAGCAAACTTTTCACTGATTGCAAATTGTTTGAGTGGGTATATTTATACAATGAATAAGTAGCCAGTGGTTTGTTCTCATTTACAATATGCAACATTACAGGAAAAATATATTTTTGCGTATGGAATGCATAAACAATAATTATTTGAAAGGTGTAAGCATTAAACTTCAGAGATTTAATGCAAATGTTAATTTATTGTAAAGTCTTTGCATTTCCAATATAACATATATTTTTTTTTTTCCTTTCCTGAGAATAATAATTTTGAGACTGCAGGAGAATTTACTGACCCTTCCATCAACTTAACATTTCAGAATTAATGAAAATCTAACATTCTGTTTCTTAGAAATGATGTATCATTAATAGTATTTAAATTTCAGTAGATGCTGACCAATATGTGAGTTATAAAGAAACACTCTCTAATCCATTATTTTTCAATATTTTTGCATATAAAATAAATCCTATTGGAAATAACTTGTATTTATTGTATCACAAGGATCATTACGTTATTTAAGATGAGCTTTTATTCAAATTAGCAACAATCTTAAGAGGAATAGTTTTGATTAACTGCATTGGATAAAAAAATTATTAATACTATGCTACATTGTAACTATCTACCAATCAATGTCAAGCACAGATTTATTCCTGATTCCTTATTACTATTGCCACTATCAATGTCGATGCTTATATCCATCACTCTGCAGTACTGTCTATACTGATAGACATATAGGCTGCTGGTAAGATTATAATTATCATATTTAGTTGACAGGCATCAGGTAGCTCTATTGAGTGTAAAAGTAAGATTAAGAGATAAAAAGAAAAGGCTGGGCCATTAATCATATCAAAAAGTTATCTCATTGTACAAAAATCAAAATGAACTTCTGGGAGGTAGCTGCAAAGTTGTTTCAGAAAACTTGAGTTCAGCTGCTCAGCTTTTGCATTCTTCCAGTGTGTCTGAGTATGTTTATATGTAATTACTCTTGTAGCTTCTAAGCTTAGTTTAGAAGTTTAAAATGTTTGTCATGTTTTTCAAATCTCCTCCCAGCCCACAACCATCCAAAACTTCTGCATTCCTCTAATCCTAGCTTCTTGAACATCCTTGAATTTGATTGCTCCGACATTGGTGGCTGTGCCTTCTATTGGCTAAGTCCTAAGCTCTTAAAATTCCCTCCCTACAACACTCCACCTTTGTCTCCTTTTTAAGTCCCTTTTGGTCATCTCCTTATGTGGTACAGTACCATATCTTGTTTTATAACACTTCTGTGAAATGCCTCGCAATGTTTTATTACATTAAAGGATTTAAATACATGCAAGCTGTTGTTGTTGTTGACACTAACCAAGTTATAGATCTCCAATGACATCTAAACAGATATGCCACACTTTCAGAATCCATTAAGGAAAGCACTGTTATTGTTTGAATGTGCAGTGCTAAGCTAAGTTTTACATTAACATGTCAGTGACTTAACTATTTATTAAAAAGTAATCAATAAATATCAAAAACAACATACATTGTAAGTGATTTTCACAGTAAATTATGGTTAAGATGAAAAGTGTAACTGTGCAATCTCTGCTCTATTCTATTGCAAAATCTTCAAAAAACATAATTCCTTACTATTTTGTCAGGTGGTCTTTCTGAAGGAAATTGTTTTTTGTTGTGACAACACAGACTGTAATATTAGTGAGATTAGAAATGTAGCATGCAGATTGCCAGCTGTAGCTAATAAAAGAACACTTACATCATTTGGAATAGTAAACTCATGGGAACTGGTTTGACCAGTGGCATCCAATCCTGCTGCTGGGACAGAATTAAGCATCTATTAGTATCAAACCCCAAGTAGACATTCAACAAGCACTTTAAAAGATTTAAGATATAATTGAAAAGATACCAGAGCAAAGCATAATTGATAGATCAAAATAAACAGCTGCACAGCATATAACATATAATGGATAGCACAGAACGAAGGTAAAATTGAAGAAAAGGAGCAATGCAAAAATAAAAGGATGAACTCAAGTGTGAGGAGGAAATGTTATGATGTGCAGGGAATATGGACACAGATACAAGATGGTTTAAGAATATTTCAGGAAAGAAATTAAATGAGAAGCTGTGACAAGATTTAGCAAATGAGAAAAAAACTTCAATAATTTTTTTAAATGCTGGTTAAGATGGAAAAAATAGACAATTGGTTTGTATTAAAGAAGGAAGGGTTGAAAAGAAACATCTGTTAAAAGAAACAGAAACTAAAAATAAATCATATCTAGCAAGTAAATTAAGCAGAATGAGGATTCAGGAAATAGGAAGACTGATTTGTAATTTTTAGTTCTGTCTGTATATTACACAACTTTTTTCATGTAACATGCATCAGATGTGAGTTAATGATAATATCAAAGGTTTGCTTATACAGAAATTTTTAATATTAAGGCAAAATGAAATTTTGGAAAGATGTTGAACAGCAAGACATAATTGTACAACATTGGAATTAATAACAGAAACATATTACATTTAAATGATGCTACAACATACTGCTTTTTTAAACAACAAAGCTATTAACAAGGGTACAAGACAACAATGAATAACTATTAATGACATAACTCATTACAAGGGTAATTATAAAAATTAGTCACAGTTAAACGTGACAACAGGAAACTTGGTCATTGACCACATTTAATTAAGTGATAAAATGACCATGGGAGATAAAGGTGCTTTGAGAAAGGACATCCCCAGGGAGTCACGGGTACGTACCAGGGAAACCAGGGGTGGTCTGCCCAAGGGGAGTAAAAGGGGTATGCTGCATAGCCAACTGGTGAAGCTTGGTCAACTGCAGGGCAGGATGGGAAATTAGAGCTAACCAATCAAATGGAATTATATCAGAATACAGAAACCATCTTTCTTTAAGAACAGGATTAATTAATCATATTAAATACATATTTAAAATCAATTTTATTCCACTATTGATAAATAAATGTGTTAAGATTAATGACATTTTTACTGTTATACATAGAAATAACTATTGTTAATTGTCAAACTATTATTTACATTGAAATGATTAACAAATTTTAAGATACTAACATAAAGCTAATGATTTGTATCTGGGCCAATGTACTTTCTAGCAAAAATAAATTACAGAACAAACTCCAAGTAATTCACATTGAACTATGCATTACTGTGCTACACACAACTGAAACTAATGGAAACAATCTTCCACTTATTAACAACAGAAAGTAAATGCTGCCCAGAACAAATGAGAAAGAGGGCACTGATTGTAGTGCACAGGACTCACGTCAGGATGAGGAATTGCATATTGTCCCTGAACTGTGTATGCCTAAAACAAAGGTTAAAAACATGCAATTACATTTACCTATGTATTTTAAAATATTAAACCAAACCACAACAAAACAATGAAATACTACGAAGCCATGTTCACTTAAAAAGAGCCACATTTAAATTAAAGCATTATTGTTGATTTCTTAAAACATACTAAAAGCTTTAATTTAAAGAAACAGCTTGCCCTTTTCAACAGAAGATTTTAGTCAGATCCGAAGTATATGCCATATACAGTTTTTTGTTTACCTTTCTCTCTTGTAGGCTCTAATTTCTATAGCAGTGGGATTCCATAAGGGTCAGCATGACTGAATTACTGTGTGTAAATGGCTATTCATCATAGGTAAGCCTGGAAATTGGGTGGTTTTTCAACTGGGAAACTTGGAACCTCAGCCATGACTCCTATCCTTTCTCAAAGCCCACACAACCAGGAATCACTGGACAATAATTCAGAGCTGCAAGTAATTTGTTTCTCCATCTGATGGCTGGGGATACTGTGTCCAATTGCATCCCTCCTGTCATCACAGCTGTGATCAGTTAACTCATCGCAGGTCAAGGATTGTATATGAAATCTCCTGGTCAGCGAAGTGCAGTATATCTTCAGCAAAACATGACTTAGAAAAACCGACATACTTCTGCATCAGAATCGCAATACCTCATACACTGTCTTAGTAAGGCTAAAACAGATGTGGGCAGGGAACAAAAGTATTAGTACTAAATGGCATGCCAATTTTCTGTTACACTAAGGCAGGTGAAGGACAGCCCCAAGAATTTTCATTTTTTTGAAGAGGATCAAACTGTTTGGACGTTTTATGACATGCCTTTGTGGCATGCAGGACTGGAACCTGAACTGGGGACCCAGAGTAGGGACACTATGGGATGCATATGCTCCCAGTCCACTGACTGCAATTAAGGTTGTTAAGGAGCAATTGAAAGCCATATTCAGATTTTATAGGCAGTGCACAGGCTGTATACTGAATCTGGGGCAGACCAGCTGCATGGGTACAGACATACAGTGAGGATTTGTTCTTCGCCAGCCCAGACAATTAGGTGATCACTATGAAAGGAAGAATGGCACAGGGACACACAACCATTGGCACACTGATGCCATTGGTTCAGCACAGGGTGAGGGGGTGGTGATGAGTGGTCATTAAGTGTTTGGGTAGCAAGGACTCATTACAGCATAATGCCTGCAGGGTGATAAGTAGAGGGAGGAAAGATTCTCAAACACAATTCGAAAGCTCCTTGAGCATGAGAAAGGCAACAGTTGGTATTAAGCTTAACTCACACTTTCAGATCTAGTAGTGAAGAGGAGCAATGTCCAGGAGAAGCAGATCCTGGGGACACAGGAGGCAGAAAGGCATGGAAGCTATATCCTCAACATATAATATCTCACTGTAGATAAAGAAACCTTGAGATGACAAAGGATCAATGCTGCGGGACGCTGCATCTATCCTGGGAGGCAGTCACTGAGATTTATGCTGTTGTTAGCAAAAATCTCATGTCTCTCAGCATTGGTCACTGCACCATGCCAGTAGCCACTCAATTTGCTGTGGCCTCAAACTGTTTTTTTTTTCCTTTATTCATTAATGGGATGAGGGCATCACTGGTTAGACAGCATTTATTACCTATCTTTAATTGCCTAGAGGGCAGTTAAGACAACCACATTGCTGTGGGCCTGGAGTCACTTGTAGGCCAGACCAGGTAAGGATGGCAGCTTCCTTCCCTAAAGGACATTAGTCAACCAGATGGGTTTTTCCTGACAATGGATTCATCATTAGATTCTTAATTTCAGATTCCTCCATCTGCCATGACGGGATTCGAACCCAGGTCCCCAGAACATTATCTAGATCTCTGGATTAACAGCCCAGTGATAATATCACTAGGCCATCATCTCCCCATCTCTGGCTGCTTCCAGGAATCGGCCTATCGCCCACAAACACATACAGCTGGAGCCTCCATACATCCTGTACCATCAGCCCTACTAAAAGTTTCAGGCAACATGCATAGTGTGGCAGGCATACAATGCATGTTGTGTGCAAACTCTGCATGCATTTCAAGTGCTGCTGCAAATGCCCTTCACAATGTTGACCAATTTCTGAATGGAGAGTCTCATGTGCTCAAACCCTTAAACCATTGTGGAGGATCCAAACTGAATGGGTTCTTCCATTCTAAGCCTATGATCACACGCCACTCAGGGAGCTCTGACATACAAGGGCATCTTTGTTGCTTGTCACACCTCACTGGTTAACATGTTGGAAATCAAGCCCACTATTGCTAGAGACCTTTCATAAGTTAAAGATTTTTAAAAGTGCACAGAATTCCACAATTTACCTGTTCTTCTGACCCAATTTGTCAGAAAATGTGGGCCAAGTTTCTGTATTTAACAAGAATGACTATTTATTACAAACAAATAGCTTCTCGCTACAGAAACAATTATAAACCCTTGGCATATAACCTTACTAGTTAAAACTCTGCTTTGTAAATTCCCCGTCTACACACAGTCAGCCGTAGGCATAGATTGGAAAATAACATTGCTTCTTGATTTCCCTTCCCCAGAATCTTCCATTTGTTTGCAGGAGGTACAGTGGGATTGGTTTCCACTTGTAAAGATTGTTGACTTGTTGATTAAAACTTGCAACTTACAGCTACTGAGAAAAAGAAATAAACTGCTTGTCTTCAGGCTTCAGATGTTTGTTATTGCAGAGCGAAAACAGCTCCTTCTCCTGCAGAGGTCTGCTGTTTCTGCCAAAATATTCACACACCCAAGCCATCTAACTACCTGGGAGCTAATCACATGCAGAAGGCTATTGTCGTCATCAATAAGTGGTCACTAGTCCACAAACCAAACAACTATTAGTTGCCAGCCGAAGAATCATTTGTACACACCACTTGACTCCAGCTCAACTGTACACTGAGCTTCCATTATTGCTTGAACAAACTGCTGTTTAAGCAGTATTTACAATGAGTGTCAGATTATTTGCTTTTAACAAGTGTCAAGATCCTTTAACAGTCCTTGGTTTTTAAAACAGTTCATTTCCCATTTCAGTTCACAATCAAAAATATAGGAAAATAACAAGATATCCAAGAATAAGATGGTCATCAAGCAAGAAAAGAGTTAACTTTAGTCAGAGTAGTAAGGGCGTGGAATGCCCTGCCTGCAAAAGTAGTAGACTCACCAACTTTAAGGGCATTTAAGTGGTCATTGGATAAACATATGGATGATAATGGAATAGTTTAGGTTAGATGGGCTTCAGATTGGTTTCACAGGTCGGCGCAACATCGGGGGCTGAAGGGCCTGTACTGTGCTGTAATGTTCTATGTTCTATAACTCTTCAGCCATGAGAAGGAACATGGATTTGAAACTGACAGTAAGAAAGAACTGTTATTGAGAAATCAGAACAGCTAAGATCACATTTGGTAATGAGATCACAGGTATCATAGGGAGAAATTGAAGACCCTTAATTAGTATCTTTGTAAGACAAACCAGTGCAAATATGGACATACTACTTCCATGCAGAAGAAAACAGAGAAATTATGGAAAGCTCTACACACACCCAAGGAATGGAAATTTAAGATAAGAGACGGGAGAGTGGGCAGGACTAGCAGCCTCTGAAAAAAATCTGTACAATATCGGGTAGAGTTAAACCGCCACAAAGGTTTTCCCTGAGAATCTGGAAGGAGGTGGGGAGTAATAGCTTGAATCTCGGAGATTATGATGTCATGATGATGTAACGGTGAGGTAACGTCACATGATGAAGAGAGTCTGGAGAGAGATCTCATGGACAAGACACTCTTAAGCTCATGTAGATCCACGACAGTATATAGTAGTGATCTATAAGTAAAAGGTTATTGATAAAATGTACACAGCAAGGTGAAATAGACATTACTATTTCTGTGAGACAAAAGAAGAAAATCACATTAGTTAGCTTTGGAGAGTGGATATCTCTGCAGTGCTGAAACTTCCCATACAACCAAGTTTTCTTCCACATGTTGTCAGACAGATGGGGGTGGTATGCATCTCCTTAATAGATGAAATCCAGTTTCTCTTCATCCTCTCCACTGGGATGCACATCCAACCTTCCCTGACTTGTTCATGATTACTGACCCCGAATCTTCTTCACTCCTTCTTCCATTGTGTGAATGATATGGAGGTAGCAAACTCTTTCTGATATTGGGCCCTTCTCTTGGCCATTAAATGTCCACTTCTACTCCAAAGTCAAAACTAACCAGATCAGGAACTGATGGTGTTACCGACAATGCCAGTGGCTCATACATGCAAGAAGCTGCATGTCTCATTGCTGGCAGATCATCAGCAATATTATAGATTTGAGCCTTTCTGGTGGCTCTGTAATTACCCTGGGCATACACTCCACATATATTCATGAGCAACATAAACCCTGAGACTCCACAGCTAGTATATCAGATGGAGGGCAAATACCCAAGTATCTGTTCTGAGGGTTTAACATTGCACTCCCTTCGTCAGAATAATTGATATTTTTCCTATGTAGTATCCATTTTCTGAGCCCCATATTATGTCTTCCTATTGTGCTTGTGACCTTTATCACAATGAAAGAGTGGTAATAAATACCCAAATCTCCCAGAAGTGATATTCTCTAAAGATTGCATCAAGGTCACTTAGAAGTACGAAAATGCTGAGTGAGAACCCAAACCTCAGATTAGTGCCTGGGAATTGTTTGATCAATTGAAGAAACAATATTAAAATGCCAAATCTGTGTATCTAGGCCTGCTTAATTTGCAAGCTGGCCTTCTCCTGACATCCTCCTCTCCATCACTGCCTCGGTGAACCTCCAGGTCACCTTTAACAAAATGAGAAACATCCCTTCCCTAGTTCCAGGCCTTGCCCTCTCTTACTCCACGTGTATGACTAATTAATTCAGTGAAACAGCAGCCACAGTAAGGACTACCAGTCTTCTTTAAATGAGGCCTACTTTTTTTCAGAATTACCAACATTTCCCATTGGTGGAGTGTAGCTTTTGAAGTCAGTGAAAATACTTCTCTCTAGAGATTGGTACTGTTTCCAGGTCCCGAACCTATGTCTATTTCCCACTCCTAGAAGGAAAATAAGGTCTCTGATATTAAAAAAAACCATTGCTTAGTACTGTGCTGTTTCTCTGGAGGTAATGGCATATACTTTGTACATTGATATGGTAAGTGAAACATACCAAATATATAAGGGCAATCGATTCCTCAAAATTAAAAATGTAGCTACTTATAAAATATTTAAGAAGCAGTAATTGTGTAAGACAATATGGCATGCAATACTTTATATCTTTGCAATTAAATCAGATTGTTATTTGAAATAGGGGGAGACCAATAGAAAAATAACAAAGTCAAACTTTATGAATTGAATACAGAATATGAAAACTGTCTCAATACTAAATTGGAAGTTGTCAAATAAATTCAGACCTGATACAATATTAAGAACTAAGGATGTGAAAACTGAGATTAATTAGAATTATTAGCTGATGATAAGATATTAGTCACCCCCTACATAAATAAGGTATGGCATACTAAGTTTCTAAATTAGTAATTAAGACAAGGAAGAAGACAGAAAAAAATTTGAAAAAAACTAACAGGCGCTGGCTGATGTTGGGCCAAGATGCTGTGGTTTCCTGCGGAAGCCAAAATGGTGTCTGCTCTTACCTGGCCACCTGCAAAAATGACGGGTGCAGAGGCAGGCTTTGGACGATAGGGAATAGTAGCACCCTTGGGTGGGGACTAAAGACAAGGAATATAAAGTAATAGAGCAATGTTTTACTTACATATCATCTTAGGAAATTTAAAGGATTTTTCCTGCTTTTGTAACTGGTTTCACAAAGCGATTTGAAGCATTAATTCCAACATACAACTCAACATTATTGATGGTAAACAATTCCTGATTTATGTCACTAACAATTTGAGATTACTTTTATGATTGAACAGATAAATTTATGAATTATATTGATAAATTATATATATATGAACTATATATTAATTAATCTTCAAGACTGGAAAAATTTAGTTATAAAGTTACATTATTCTAGTTAGTGACTGCAAAATTCAATTGTAAGGATACAGTTTGCATTTATCTCCAAATGTCATACCTCCAGCATCACCACACAGATCTGTTTTACACTTTGAATGATGGCATCTGGTGTGCCAGAAATAGTAACTGCGCGTTCAGTAGAGTTTGGAAGCATATCACCTGCTACCTGCACCTGGGCTCCTGTGGTCTATGAACAGACAAGAGTAAAACTAGATTCACACTTCCACAGGTACAGTAGAAAAACATTGACAACTTTTCTATACCAAAACGTTCTCTCAAATTACTTCCTAAACATTCAGAATGATTACGTTTTTAATGACTGACACTTTCAATAACACTATCAATTTTATATCTGGAAACATGTTTTCCCCAGAATGATTCAATGAAACAAAAGGTAAATATTTTATCTATTATTTGTTGTAGTTTGTATTTATGTATTGAACTATATATTTGTAAAACTTGACAATACATTAAAAATGCTCACACTTTAATGTTAAAGGGTGGATATTATGATTTTCTTTGAGATCCAATAAAACATAACAATATTCTTTCTGATTTTGGACTAATTTCCTCAAAAAGTACTTTTTTTTAAGGATTTTAAATATGCCTTAAGTACAGTGCAATGACATTCTATGGCATAAATTTAAAATCCTTTTGGATTTTATTGATTAGGGAGTATAACTTGATCCATGTTCTACAAATTCAGATATAAATAATAAAGAATTAATAAAAATAATGCAATATAGCATCGAACATAAAATGATAAGATTACCTATAACCATTTTAAATGACATTTTTAGTGTATCAATTAATGGGTTTACTCTTTTTCTGAGGCACACATGAGAAAACATTAATGCCACTGGAAGTCAAAGATAGGTAGATGCATGTGAAATTCCAAAGGAGGACTTGATTAACTTGTGCCACCACAATAACCATATAAATGAGCTTTGTAGAAATTTTATGTATACTTATAAAGGTTGACCACAATGCCCAACATTGGAACATAAAATGGGGTTTTGTCTATTACAACTCCACATAGAAATATATTAAAGGTCAAAAAATAATTGGTGAACTAACCAATACTGTTGGTTAGCACACTACCCCTTCAATTCTAGAATTCGAATAAAGTCAAAATTAGATTAATGTGTTGAAATTCTCTCCCTTCTATTGGTTGAATTGAATTTGACAATCAGCTTTTTGTTGATGCAAGACCACAGCATAAAACTGCCTTCAATACTGCAATAAGTGCTACTAAATTGGATGGGAGTTTTCTGATAAACCCTTGGCAAAACAAAATTGTAAACCATTCTTCATAAACCGGTTTGTGATTTTACTGCAGAGATGAATCCAAGATAATGAATAGAAAATAGAAGAATTGTGGAATTTTTCTGAATTTGGATGATAGTAATCCATGGGAAAAATACCATGCAAGTAAGATAGAACAAGATCTGAAATATATTTATAATTATCCCGCAATTACACTAGGTGGAAAATTGTTTGAACAAAGCAAAGGGACCCCTACTCTGCATCTGTGCTATCTTGTGCTATATCTCTTCTTGAAGGAGTTTTTGCTGTCATTGGATATAAAATATGGGAAATTGTTCCATTACTAAGGCAAGAAATTATTCCCTTTTATTAGCACAACTAATTCACAAAATTGAGAAAAAGTTAGAAGCTATAAGAATTACAAAATAAAAATCAATCTGAATTTTTCAAGGGAAATCACACCTCTGAGGTGTTTTTTCCATTCGTACAGAAATGAAGGCCAATTTTCTGAGTCTGTTAGCTGTGGTCCTGCACCTTGGAAAATGCGGATAGCTTATAAAGATTTTCCTTTGTGTGCGGCCAATAGATATGTGGGGAAGACTTCTGGAAAGTAGTACAAACTAGGAAAGTTAATATTGTAATATTTTGAGCTCAATTAACAGATGAGGCAGAATTGTATAAAAATGTCTTACAAAAATAGCCATTTGTTCACACAGAACTTGTGTATTGCTGAAAAAAGTAACTCATTTTGGCAAAGATTTTCATCTTGCACACAATAGCATGAATTGAAAGTTATACCAGATTATCAAGAAAATATTTATGCTCTGTGAGAGGAACTGATTGATTGGCAAGCAGACTCTGATTGGTAGAGACATTGTCATAGATCATTTACCAGTTAATGATAATTGACAGCTAACTTCAGATTTGTTTAAATTGTAAACTAGACAAGTTAAGGTGTGAAAATAGATAAGTCCCCTGGGCCGGATGGGATTTATCCTAGGATTCTCTGGGAAGCTAGAGAGGAGATTGCAGAGCCTTTGGCTTTGATCTTTATGTCGTCATTGTCTTCAGGAATAGTGCCAGAAGACTGGAGACTAGCAAATGTTGTCCCCTTGTTCAAGAAGGGGAGTAGAGACAACCTGGTAATTACAGACCAGTGAGCCTTACTTCGGTTGTGGGTAAAGTGTTGGAAAGGATTATAAGAGATAGGATTTATAATCATCTAGAAAGGAATAATTTGATTAGGGATAGTCAACACGGTTTTGTGAAGGGTAGGTTGTGTCTCTCAAACCTTATTGAGTTCTTTGAGAAGGTGACCAAACAGGTGGATGAGGGTAAAGCGGTTGATGTGGTGTATATGGATTTCAGTAAAGTGTTTGATAAGGCTCCCCATGGTAGGCTATTGCAGAAAATACGGAGGCATGGGATTGAGGGTGATTGAGCAGTTTGGATCAGAAATTGGCTAGCTGTAAGAAGACAGAGGGTGGTGGTTGATGGGAAATGTTCATCCTCGAGTTCAGTTACTAGTGGTGTACCTCAAGGATCTGTTTTGGGGCCGCTGCTGTTTGTCATTTTTATAAATGACCTGGATGAGGGCGTAGAAGGATGGGTTAGTAAATTTGCGGATGACACCAAAGTCGGTGGAGTTGTGGATAGTGCGGAAGGATGTTGCAGGGTACAGAGGGACATAGATAAGCTGCAGAGCTGGGCTGAGAGGTGGCAAATGGAGTTTAATGCGGAAAAGTGTGAGGTGATTCACTTTGGAAGGAGTAACAGGAATACAGAGTACTGGGCTAATGGTAAGATTCTTGGTAGTGTGGATGAGCAGAAAGATCTCGGTGTCCATGTGCATAGATCACTGAAAGTTGCCACCCAGGTTGATAGCGTTGTTAAGAAGGCGTACGGTATGTTAGGTTTTATTGGTAGAGGGATTGAGTTTCAGAGCCATGAGGTCATGTTGCAGCTGTACAAAACTCTGGTGCGGCCGCACTTGGAGTATTGCGTACAGTTCTGGTCACCGCATTATAGGAAGGATGTGGAAGCATTGGAAAGGGTGCAGAGGAGATTTACCAGGATGTCGCCTGGTATGGAGGGAAGGTCTTATGAGGAAAGACTGAGGGTCTTGAGGCTGTTTTCGTTAGAGAGAAGAAGGTTAAGAGGTGACTTGATAGAGACATACAAGATGATCAGAGGATTAGATAGGGTGGACAGTGGGAGCCTTTTTCCTCGGATGGTGATGGCTAGCTCGAGGTGACATAGCTTTAAATTGAGGGGTGCTGGATATAGGACAGATGTCAGAGGTAGGTTCTTTACTCAGAGTAGTAAGGGCATGGAATGCCCTGCCTGCAAAAGTAGTAGACTCGCCAACTTTAAGGGCATTTAAATGGTCATTGGATAAACATATGGATGATAATGGAATAGTTTAGGTTAGATGGGCTTCAGATTGGTTTCACAGGTCGGCGCAACATCGAGGGCCAAAGGGCCTGTACTGCGCTGTTATGTTCTATGTTAACACTGATTAGTTGAAATATTGTCCTAAGAAACAAAGAGGACAATGGCTGTCACCAATTTTGCTGAGTTGAAACAGGCCCTGTGTATTAATATATGCAGCTTCCCGTATTATTTGCCAAATAATCCTAAATATGAAAGAATTACACTGTCAACCCATTTAGGACTGGCAGTTGGGCTTGCAGTGTGGCACACTTTCTTGCACTTGTGGCTACATATACCCAGAGCCCTGCTATTTGCAGGTACAAAGAACATATATATATGCCTGTTTCAACTCAACAAAACAGGTGACAGCCATTCCTAGAGTCATTCTTTAGGACAATGCCTTGGCCAATCAGTCAAGTTGCCGGATTTAAAACTTATATAAAGTTCAGCAGGTTGTGCCACTTTGGAACTCCATACCTCAGAATGCAGTGGAAGTGGCGGCCATTGAATATTTTTAAGATGGAGACAGATAGTTTCTTGTTAGGTGAGGAATCAAGGGCTATACAAAGAAACTAAGAGCAGGTGTAGGCCATCTAACCTTTTGAGTCTGATCCACCATTCAACATGATCACGTTTGATCCTCTATCTCAATGCCATTTTAATGTTTTCTTCACATACCACTTGAAGCCTTTAAAAACTAATAAAAATCTATCTCTTTCTTGAATATATTCAGTGACTTGGCCTCCACAACCTTCTATGGTAGAAAATTTCACAGGTTGACAACCTTTTGAGTGAAGAAACATTTTCCTCATTTCAGTCCAAAATGGTCTACCCCATATCCTGAGACTTTGTTCCTTGGTTCAGGGAAAACATCCTCCCTGCATCTAGTCTTTCCAGCCCTGTTAGAATTTTACATGTTTCAATCAGCTTCCCTTTCATCCTTCTAAATTGTACTGAAACCCATAAGATAGTTCTGCCATCCCCAATATCAGCCTAGTGAACCTGCACTGCACTCCCTGTATGGCAAATGTATCCTTTCTAAAGTAGGGAGGCCAAAAACCTGCACGCAATACTTCAGGTATGGTCTCACCAAGGCATGTATAACTGCAGTAATCCATTCCCATAGTTCTGAACTCAAATTCTCATGAAATAAAGGCCAACATACTATTTGCCTTCCTAATTACTTGCTCCACATACCTGCCTACTTTTAGTGACTGATGTACCAGGGCACCCCAGATCCCTTTGTACATCCATTCTTCCCAATATATCACCATTTAAATGAAAATCTTCTTCTCTATTTTCTCACACTAAATGCATAACTTCACACATGGCCAAGCAGAACTGCATCTGCTATGTGTTTGCCCACGCACTTAACTTGTCTAAGTCACATCAAAGCCTCTTTGTATCCTCCTCACAACTCATAATTCCCAGTTTTGTGGCATCAGCAAATTTGGAAAAGATGCATTTGACTCCCTCATCCAGGTAACT